TCCTGGAAAATAGCTTTATTTGCCAAAAGATTTGTCATTTTGGACAGCCATTGTGATGTACCTCTAAAGATGATGCTACTTACTAGTCTACCATGTGTAGTTCTTGGGTCAGCTTTGCTGCTTCATGATCAGTTACCTGGACATAGATAAGAATCCTCCTTGTCCAATGATCAGACTGGAGAAAGAAAGGTGACAAAGTAAACCAAAAAACTGAACTAGAAATTACATAACCAGGAAATAGGTTTGTCACCAATTGGGCTGTATTGGTTGCAAGAGGTAAGCAAATGACAAGGGGGCTGAGCATTTTCACCAGTACAGAACGTGTTGGGAAAATGAACATTTTAGAGCTGTCACAGGAACAGGATTTGAGAGGGAATTTTCCAGTGGGGGCACCTACTTTGGTAACAGCTGTCTATGAGGTGATATGCCCTCGCTTTGGAAGAATTTCCTCTTACCTGCTTCTGGGACAGAAAGCAAAGAGAAATCTCCCTGAAGTTACATTATGGGTGGGAATTCATAAAACTGGAGCAGACAGAATCCCATGGCAACCAATCAACGTCTCTCTTTCATGTTTCAAAGCTTTTCATATTACAGAATGTCACCAGAAACAATCTTCCCAAAATATTATATTGTTATTCAATTAATTTTCCTCTGTGTAGACATCCAAAAGCCCTCAGACTGCTCATGGACATTGATGGGTGGACACCAGCATCTTGGATATCATTGCAGCTCCAGCAGACTCATAATTGTCACTCAAGTGACACTGTAGTATTCCCATTCACTTCTTCCCTTACTACTTCATCAAACGTTATGTTGGGAGGTGAGGGGAGTGACAAAGGAGCTGGGCGCACACAGACAGTGATTAGACAATCCCTGAAGATGAGAGGCCCATGATGTGCAAGGAGGGAGGGAATTTACACTTTTTGGGCTAGCAGATTTTGAGGCACATTGGAAGTGAATAAAAATTGTTTATGGAATGGCAAAATATTGCAAGAAAGCATTTAAAATACTAGATTTAATCTGATGACAGGGTCTCATTTAGAAAGCAAAATAACTCTATTAAAAGAGAACTATAGCCAATATGTTTTTTGGCTTTTATAGTTCTGTTTTCGGTCACAGGAGTACATTTACTAATGTATTCCTTTGACCCAAAGTCAGCATCTAGTCAGCACTTAAAATATTATGGGCAAATAGCAGCACAGCTAACAGCAGCAACAGAAAAATGAGAAATCTTTTTGTGGAAAAAACATCTTGTGATTGTGCTTGTGAATGAACTTCAGCAGAATAAAATTTAACCCGTGCAGTGGGGCTACCTTCACTCATTTTTGGTCTATTGTGTAAAATACAAAAATATATACTCACCCGAACCTTGGTCCTTCCAGGCTGTTAGCCTGGTCTCTGCGGCCTCTCTCCCCCTCTGCTCTGGTGGTCTAAGGTTCCATGAGTCATCACGTCCTATACAATGTATTACATGACATGAAGACACCAAGAGACATTCCACGGCCAGAGTGGAGGAGGAAAAAAACTTACTATATTGCAGCCTACCAGTCCTTAACTTTGTTGTCTGTGTTTGTTTGTTTTTTTCACCTGGTGATCTGGCCAGTAAGTGTTTTATTTTTTTTTTAAACTTCTTTTACCAGACCGAGCTGTCCAGCAAAAAGTTAGAGGATTGAGACAAACCATTTAACGCTGACAGGGGTGCTCACAATGGCCAGTTTTATTTATTTAAGTAAAACCTTTATTCCAAAAGGAAAAAAAACATGTTTTGCTGTAACTGCTGAAAAGTGTTGGCTGAAGTTCAGATTTAATTTGGTACTCAAGTCCCTCTCATCTACTAGTCCATCTAACACTATCCTCCCCACAGAGTAACAATGTTGCTGTCCAAGGTTGGCTCCATTGCTCCTCCATAGAGTGGAGCCACCCTAAGGGCTTGTTCACATGATGTCCGGACCAGATGGATCTGGAGCAGATCTGCAGACGCGGTGCTATGCTTTTTTTAAAAAAGTGTTTGGTTTTTTTGGGTGGGAGTGGGGCTGTCAGTATGTTAGCTGCAGTGCGGTGCGTTTTCAGCGCATTTTCATTGCGTTTTTGACGTGTTCGTGCATTTCTGGACCAGACAAAATGTGACATGCAGCATTTTCTCTGTCCGGCCCGGAACGGACTGCGCACGTGAGAACTGTAGCCCATAAAACACATAGGGATACATTGGGATGCATTTTGGGTGCAGGAGCGAACGGTTCTGGTCCGGACACAATCCGGACGTCGTGTGAACAAGCCCTAAGACAGGAATTGTATTACTGGCCAGATCACCAGGTGAAAATAAAGGGAAAAAGGCTAAAACACCCCCCTGGCAAGACTTTTTTTCCCTTCCCTACCCCAAGTCTCCCAGTCAGGTTGTAGTATTAAATTGCAGTATTGTGAACTGAAGTGCCACACTTCATTTAATAGTCCAGGCACATCTTTATTCAATGTAAGGTTGAGGGGACAGTATAGAAGCAGCCAACATGTTTCTGGGGCTCATACAAATACCTGCTTCATCAGGGCTTACTAAGAGAGAAAATGTATCAGGACTGTGTTGGCAAACTGGATACAGTTTTGTTCAGTGTGTAAGAATTAATAGAGCTCTTCAGCAGCTGATTTGGCAGCCTTGGCAACCAGTCAAGTTGGAGAGGAAATTATCCCCAGTAAAGACTTAGGCATCAATAAAATCATAACATATGTTCTAAGCCTTTCCTGCTCCATTCAACATTTTTAAAAACACTTTACTTATTACAGCATCAACCAAGTTTACAGCCTTTTATATAGTCTGCATCACACTAGTCCCTGCCTCAGAAGATGCTTTTAATGCAATGCCCCTATAGACACACACATTTGAGTAGAACATTTGTAATGTATGTGTACGCAATACTCCCTAATTTTGGTAACTCGTAGCAATTTAATGGAATCTGCAACTGGACTCCACCATGCTAAAGAAAGCCAAGCCTTTAGGACGCATCTCAGTACAGCTATTAAAGCAGCTTGTCACTGGGAGAAGAAAGACCCCCCTTTAATAGGCTGAGAAACACCTTGACAGGTTTTCCACTTTAAGTCAAAAAACGTAAAACCTCTTTGAGACACACAATTAAATGATGGATGCAGGTGAGATGAATCACTTACTGCCATTATCACCTGTATACTTTAGTGATTGCGGGACCATTTTGAGGAGGTTCCATCCTCCCTGCTATATAATTATGTTGAAAAGGGACAGTTGTCCACTAGGTTCAAACTTTTAAACATTTGGTTAGCTTTTATGTTATTTTGAATGCCATAATGCAGGGGTTGACTATACTGTACCAATATTCGAGAGTGAGGATTTGGCAGTGCCAGAAAATACCAGCATCAACCCACACCTGACATATGACCTTTGGATGACAAATATATGAGCCTGTTAACAGTATACACATTCAAGTAGAGGCAAATACTAACCCAAGGAATCCAAAAAATTATTAAAAGTCATATAGAGGGCTTTAAGAAAAAAATGGCTGTAACAAGATATACAATTAATTACCTTCAGAAACCACATATTTAATATCATCTGTGGGTTTATAACCATCCATAACTTCTGCCATTTAGATATTTCCCACTTTCATTACTGCATCTAGATATATTCCTTTGGAATATTACTTCCTTTAAATCTCTGTCGCTTAAACATCCTTCAAGAAGCAGGGGTATATGGGTCTCTCAAATGCCATATTCAATGATGTGACAGGCTTAAGCTTCCTCTCCCACTACCTACAGAAGAAATGCAAATAAAAGGAAGCGGCTTGTATGAGTGAGTGACAACACGGAAACAGCGGTTGTATAGTAATTGGAACCGTCATATTTTCAAGATCAAGGTGTTTAAGAGTGCATTTGATGACTTTATAGGTAAAACAGATAATGTATTTATTAATAGTGAATACAAGTACCACCAGCGCTTATGCAATTCCTTTTCTCATTGATGG